GGGTTAGAGTGAGAGTGAGAGTGAGAGTGAGGGTGAGGGTGAGAGTGAGGGTGATTGAGAGTGAGAGTGAGAGTGAGAGTGAGAGTGAGAGTGAGGGTGAGGGTGAGGGTGAGGGTGAGGTGAGAGTGAGAGTGAGGTGAGAGTGAGGGTGAGGGTGAGATGAGGGTGAGAGTGAGAGTGAGGGTGAGGGTGAGAGACGATGAGATGAGGTGAGGGTGAGGGTGAGAGTGAGAGTGAGGGTGAGGTGAGAGACGGTGAGAGTGAGGGTGAGGGTTAGAGTGAGAGTGAGAGTGAGAGTGAGGGTGAGGGTGAGAGTGAGGGTGATTGAGAGTGAGAGTGAGAGTGAGAGTGAGATGAGAGTGAGGGTGAGGGTGAGGGTGAGGGTGAGGGGGTGAGAGTGAGGGGAGAGTGAGAGTGAGGGTGAGAGTGAGGGTGAGAGTGAGTGAGTGAGGGTGAGGGTGAGAGATGAGTGAGGGTGAGGGTGAGGTGAGGTGAGAGGTGAGGGTGATTGAGAGTGAGAGTGAGAGTGAGAGTGAGGTGAGGGTGAGGGTGAGAGTGAGAGTGAGAGTGAGGGTGAGGGTGAGTGAGATTGAGATTGAGATTGAGATTGAGAGTGAGGGTGAGGGTGAGAGTGAGTGAGATTGAGAGTGAGAGTGAGAGTGAGAGTGTGAGTGAGGGTGAGGGTGAGGGTGAGAGTGAGAGTGAGAGTGAGAGTGAGAGTGAGAGTGAGAGTGAGGGTGAGAGTGAGAGTGAGAGTGAGGGTGAGCAGACTGGGCTCTTGGTTTTTTTGAGATTTCAGCTTTTGCTCCATATTTAACCAGTTTTTTCTGAAAACGTTCTCAGCTGCTGTCATCTCTTCTGACTTTGAGTTGTCCATCATGGAGCTTTCTCCCCCGTCAGCCTCCCCCCCCTGCCCCTCTCCTCCTCCTCCCCCCTTTGTAGTGTAGAGCCTTCTTCAGATTGATGTTGTTGATCCTGAAATCCCGACGGCACAAGGACAGAAGAGTTCTTTAGTCTGTCCTTGGAGCATCTTATAGAGAGTAGAGCTCACTCTTCTTCTTCTCTGGAGAACACACAGCACAGGGCTCTGATTAGTCCCTCCCCCTGCACTGCCCCCTGGAGGAGGGACTGTCACAGGTCAAGAGATAGTGGTCCAGACTGTGGGAGCACAGGCTGAATGCTCTGGTCTCCACTGTGGCCATTTTGAAGGTGAAAAGGACTTCCAGACCTTCAACACAGCTCTCTGTGTCCAAGGTCAGCTTCTCCCTCTGGTGGTGGGTCGGGGGAGTGCAGTCTCTTGTTTGATCTTGAAGTCTCTTTAACTTTGTGGATCGATGGAGTCAGCAGCTGTCTCCTCTGACTTTGAGCTGTCCGTCATGGAGCTTTCTCCTCCATCACCTCCTCCCAGTGGGCCCTCCTCCACTCCTCCCCCCTCCTCCCCCAGCGGGGCCTGTCACTCAGGGAGGAGGGAGAACATGCTGAGCTCCATAAACCTTCAGAACTGTCCTGATGCACGTCCGCAGAGCACTGAGGTCAGAAACAGCTGTTTCTCTTTGAGAAGGTGAGGCCTGTGATTGGTCAGGAGCCAAAGACCGAGGACTGTGGTCAGATGTGTCCAGATCTCAGCAGGTGAAGGTCAGGAACCAGAGAGCGGGGGGAGAGAGAGGGGGGGAGAGAGAGCGGGGGGGGGGGGGGGGGGGGAGAGCGAGGCGGTGAGAGAGGGGGGGAGAGAGAGTGGGGTGGGGGGGGGGGGGGGGGGCGAGGGGGAGGGAGGGGAGAGAGAGAGGAGAGAGAGAGGGAGGGGGGGAGAGAGGGGGCCCACAAGTGGCTCATGGTCCAATGCTAAGTTATAGAAGCTGTCGATGTTGAGGGGAGTATATGTTTTTGGACCAGTCTAGTTTAGCTGCTGTGGACTTCAGAATGCACTTGTTAAATGAATGGGGCTGGTGCAGCTAACATGTGCACAAAATGATTTTTTTTCATCTCTTTCACAGACGATGAAAGTGATCTCACATTAGTTTCAGCGGTAGGGATAGGTGTGACTATGTCTGTTAAAATTTACAGTCTATGTGTTCAACACTGATTACAAATTAGTCTCCCCAGAATCCCTGACCCTGACCCCTGATACCCTTGGGGCTCCCCGAGGTTTCTCCTTTTCTCCCCCAGGGTTTACAGAGTTGTTCCTCGGATGCAGGAGGTTCTACGGACAGAGATGATCCAGGACTCTCAAGACATTTATGGACTTTGGTCTCTGCTCCTTTTGGACCTGTGTGTTTTTGTCATTGCTTTTCTTGTGTTTGTGTTTGATTCTCTGATCTGTGGTTGGCAAATCGACAGTTTTGTTAAGGAGAAGACTCTTATCAGACTGCAGTATCAGACTAGTATCAGAGTGTAGTATCTGACTGTAGTATCAGACTGCAGTATCAGACTGTATTATCAGACTGCATTATCAGACTGTAGTATCAGACTGTAGTATCAGACTGTAGTATCAGACTGCAGTATCAGACTGTAGTATCAGACTGTAGTATCAGACTGTAGTATCAGACTGTAGTATCAGACTGTAGTATCAGACTGTAGTATCAGACTGTAGTATCAGACTGCAGTATCAGACTGCAGTATCAGACTGCAGTATCAGACTAGTATCAGACTGCAGTATCAGACTGTAGTATCAGACTGCAGTATCAGACTGCAGTATCAGACTGTAGTATAAGACTGTAGTATCAGACTGCAGTATCAGACTGCAGTATCAGACTGCAGTATCAGACTGTAGTATCAGACTGCAGTATCAGACTGTAGTATAAGACTGTAGTATCAGACTGCAGTATCAGACTGTAGTATCAGACTGCAGTATCAGACTGTAGATATCAGACTGTAGTATCAGACTGCAGTATCAGACTGTAGTATCAGACTGTAGTATCAGACTGTAGTATCAGACTGTAGTATCAGACTGTAGTATCAGACTGTAGTATCAGACTGCAGTATCAGACTGCAGTATCAGACTGTAGTATCAGACTGCAGTATCAGACTGTAGTATCAGACTGTAGTATCAGACTGCAGTATCAGACTGCAGTATCAGACTGTAGTATCAGACTGTAGTATCAGACTGCAATATCAGACTGTAGATATCAGACTGTAGTATCAGACTGTAGTATCAGACTGCAGTATCAGACTGTAGATATCAGACTGTAGTATCAGACTGCAGTATCAGACTGTAGATATCAGACTGTAGTATCAGACTGCAGTATCAGACTGTAGATATCAGACTGTAGTATCAGACTGCAGTGTCAGACTGTAGTGTCAGACTGTAGTATCAGACTGTAGTATCAGACTGTAGTATCAGACTAGTATCAGACTGTAGTATCAGACTGCAGTATCAGACTGTAGATATCAGACTGTAGTATCAGACTGCAGTATCAGACTGTAGATATCAGACTGTAGTATCAGACTGTAGTATCAGACTGTAGTATCAGACTGTAGTATCAGACTGCAGTATCAGACTGTAGTATCAGACTGTAGTGTCAGACTGTAGTATCAGACTGTAGTATCAGACTGTAGTATCAGACTAGTATCAGACTGCAGTATCAGACTGTAGTATCAGACTGTAGTGTCAGACTGTAGTATCAGACTGCAGTATCAGACTGTAGTATCAGACTGTAGTGTCAGACTGTAGTATCAGACTGCAGTATCAGACTGTAGTATCAGACTGTAGTGTCAGACTGTAGTATCAGACTAGTATCAGACTGCAGTATCAGACTGTAGTATCAGACTGCAGTATCAGACTGCAGTATCAGACTGTAGTATCAGACTGTAGTGTCAGACTGTAGTATCAGACTAGTATCAGACTGCAGTATCAGACTGTAGTATCAGACTGTAGATATCAGACTGTAGTATCAGACTGCAGTATCAGACTGCAGTATCAGACTGCAGTATCAGACTGTAGTATCAGACTGTAGATATCAGACTGTAGTATCAGACTGTAGATATCAGACTGTAGTATCAGACTGTAGATATCAGACTGTAGTATCAGACTGTAGTATCAGACTGTAGTATCAGAGACAACGTCAACATCGTGCTAACATGCTAACGTCTCTTTTATGGCCTTTGATAATGGAGCAGCTGCTAACGACTGTTGAAGACTCAATGATGTAGTGAGTGTTTGTCCTGGAGCAGGATGAGAGGACAGGGCCCAGGGAGCGCCTTGTTTACGTCGCCGTGGCAACAGGCCATATCTGCCCAACGGGGCGGTTAATGCAGCGGTCAGGGGGGGTCACTGTGTGGAGGCGGGTTTCACTGTAACACTTCCATTAAAGCTGGAACAGAACAGGTCCAGGTCTTTGGTCTTTAAAGACACTTCTCTGGCTCTAATCACTCTGTTCTGAGGCATCTTCACATCAGAGGAAAACGCTGAAGAGGCAAAGAAATACTGAGTCTAACCAACCAGGGTTTAACAGAGAGGTCTGTGTACCAGGTCTGTGTCCCAGGTCTGTGTCCCAGGTCTGTATCCCAGGTCTGTATCCCAGGTCTGTGTACCAGGTCTGTGTACCAGGTCTGTGTCCCAGGTCTGTGTCCCAGGTCTGTGTCCCAGGTCTGTGTCCCAGGTCTGTGTCCCAGGTCTGTGTCCCAGGTCTGTGTCCCAGGTCTGTGTCCCAGGCCTTTGTCCCAGGTCTGTGTCCCAGGTCTGTGTCCCAGGTCTGTGTCCCAGGTCTGTGTCCCAGGTCTGTGTCCCAGGTCTGTGTCCCAGGTCTGTGTCCCAGGTCTGTGTCCCAGGTCTGTGTCCCAGGTCTGTGTACCAGGTCTGTGTCCCAGGTCTGTGTCCCAGGTCTGTGTCCCAGGTCTGTGTCCCAGGTCTGTGTCCCAGGTCTGTGTCCCAGGTCTGTGTCCCAGGTCTGTGTCCCAGGTCTGTGTCCCAGGTCTGTGTCCCAGGTCTGTGTCCCAGGTCTGTGTCCCAGGCCTTTGTCCCAGGTCTGTGTCCCAGGTCTGTGTCCCAGGTCTGTGTCCCAGGTCTGTGTCCCAGGTCTGTGTCCCAGGTCTGTGTCCCAGGTCTGTGTCCCAGGCCTTTGTCCCAGGTCTGTGTCCCAGGTCTGTGTCCCAGGTCTGTGTCCCAGGTCTGTGTCCCAGGTCTGTGTCCCAGGTCTGTGTCCCAGGTCTGTGTCCCAGGTCTGTGTCCCAGGTCTGTGTCCCAGGTCTGTGTCCCAGGTCTGTGTCCCAGGTCTGTGTCCCAGGTCTGTGTCCCAGGTGGATTTGCTTCTGTCCTGGCCCTAAACACTGGCTGCAGTGTGAAAGTGTTTGAGTGGGTGATAGAGATAAAATGTTGCTATAAAAAGCCAAATCTTCACAATATGTCACAAAAACTAATTTAAACTGGAGCTCGCTCTGAGGCAGTATGTGCATAGAACTTGTTTTTGTGGTGCCAGCGGGAGACCTGATGCCCCCCTTGTCTTGAGCCTTTAATTGCTCTGGCTGTGGAGCGTAAGATCCTGGAGCTGTGACAGTGGCTCCTGCACTCGGCCACTTTACATCTCATTAGTTTCAGCAACGAAATGTTGAAGTCACCGTCGTTAGAGTTAGAGTTAGAGACCCTTTCTCTTTCTGCTCAGAGGAGACTCTGTGTCTCTGTGTCTCTGTGGTTCTGTCGCTGAGGACAGACAGGAGCGTGTAGTGTGTCACAGACCCAGCAGGGGGCAGCAGCAGGAGCCTAAAGATATTGAGGCCCAAAATATATAGTTTTTTCCATGAAGTATTGAAGTCATTACAGTAATGATGGTGACAGGACCAACGGACCTCAGTCTAGGAATAAATACACTTTTAATAGAATATTTCTCACTAACTGAACGGCTTTCGCTGCAGCTGAGGCAGCGCTCGCTCGCCGTTCTGCTCGGCTGCGTGTTGCTGCAGCAAACAGGCTAACAGGCTAATAGGCTAACCTGCTAATAGGCTAATAGAGGAACAGCTCGTCTGCAGCTAACAGGCTAACAGCTTGTCTTGTTTAAATTAGCATAAGGCAAAGTTAAGCCGCTCTTATCTCATTTCCGACTCATGCAGTTATAATTCAGCTTCATCTGGAGGAAATTGGACTGGACCAGGACTGGTCTCAGGGGGACTCGGGGGAGAGAGGGAGAGAGAGGGGGGGCGGCAGTGATTAGCAACCCTGTTTTTAGCGTCTGTTGTTTCTGTTCATGTGTCGAGCGTCTGCCGTTCAAACAGACGCTAATTAGAGTCAAACGTCTTTTCACACCTTTATCCTCGTTACAATGTGTCCGCGTTAGACCTTTGCTGTTGCTTTGAAACATTCTCTCATTTTTCTCCATGTTATAGTGATCCTATGATCCTACCTGCAGCTGTGTTTCAATCCATCCACACTGATATCAGGAACCTCTGTCACAAACATGTGGCCAGACGGGGACAGAGACAGAGACAGGGATGGGACAGAGATGGGGCAGAGATGGGGCAGAGACAGAGATGGGACAGAGATGGGACAGAGACAGAGATGGGACAGAGATGGGGCAGAGATGGGGCAGAGATGGGGCAGAGATGGGGCAGAGATGGGACAAATCTCTAACCCTGTGGGAGAGCCCAGTCAGATCAGCGGAAAGCAGGGGCATGAATTAAGCAAGAGGCAGTCAGGAGAGAGGGGAGAGCAGGGGGAGAGAGCAGGGGGAGAGAAGAAGAGAGAAAGAGGGAGGACAGGTGGAGGATGGATGGAGATGTTTCTTTAGAGGAAACACCCCATCAGTACAATAATGAAGTAGATTTCCTAATGAGATGCAGAAGCTCGTTGTGGTCTGACAATCACTATGCATTTATCAAACAAAAAAGTTAGATTCTGGAGCTTTAATAATTGTGTGTTGAAGTTAAAGCTGCGGTACTCCATCTTTAAAGCTCTAAAGCGGAGGCATACATACATACATGCTGCTGTAAAAGGATCCTCAGTGATCAGGAAGTGACGGACAGGAGAGTGACAGAGGGTCAGGAGCTGTCTGCAGGGTAATGTAGGGCTCCACACACACTGCACACAGACTGACACACACAGACACACACACAGAGGGAGAGACACACACACTGCACACAGGCTGACACACACACAGAGGGAGAGACACGCACACAGACTGACACACAGACACACACACACAGAGGGAGAGACACACACACTGTACACAGACTGACACACACAGACACACACATACAGAGGGAGAGACACACACACTGCACACAGACTGACACACACACACACACAGAGGGAGAGACACACACACTGCACACAGGCTGACACACACGGACACACACACACAGAGGGAGAGACACACACACTGCACACAGAATGACACACACAGAGAGAGAGAGAGACACACACACAGAGGGAGAGACACACACACTGCACACAGACTGACACACACAGACACACACACACATACAGAGGGAGAGACACACACACACGCAGAGGGAGAGACACACACACTGCACACAGACTGACACACACAGAGGGAGAGACACACACATACAGAGGGAGAGAGAGACACACACGCAGAGGGAGAGAGACACACACACAGAGAGGGACACACACACACAGAGGGAGAGACACACACATACAGAGGGGGAGAGAGACACACACAGAGGGAGAGAGACACACACACGCAGAGGGAGAGAGACATGCAAACACAGAGAGAGACACACACACACAGAGGGAGAGACACACACATACAGAGGGAGAGAGACACGCAAACACAGAGAGAGAGACACACACACACAAGCAGAGAGAGAGAGGCACACACAAAGGGAGAGAGACACGCAAACACAGACACACACACAGACATAAACACACACCCACAGAGACACACACAGAGTGAGTGAGAGAGACACAAACACACAGAGTGAGAGAGAGAGAGACATGCAAACACAGAGAGCGAGAGAGACACACACACACGAAGGGAGAGAGACACACTCACACACAGAGGAAGACAGACACAGAGAGAGAGAGAGAGAGCGGGACACACACACAGACACACAAACCATTTTTTTTTTTTTCATTTTTAAAACCCTGACTAAACATCATGGATAATTGGTTCTCTGGGTGTCAGCTCAGACCTCCTGCAGTTCTGTGTGAGAATGAAGCTACACACACACACACACACACGCACACGCACACGCACACGCACACGCACACACACACACACTGACCTCTGGCCTTGCTGACACTCATTACCTGTGTGTAGATCTGGGTGTTCACCTCCTCTCAGTGATAACAGTTTAATTACTGGGTAAAGATGGTGGATGAGTGACCTCTCTGCTCGGGGATTAGCTCCTGGTGTCATGAACAATCTGTGGGCTCTGAACTCTGGGCTCGGACCACGGATGCATTCAGAGGTGGAAACTTTCCCAGGGGAATGTCTGTGAATTTACGGGAATTTCATAGCCGGCTGCAGATGCTAGCACCTCCTGTGGCTGTGTCTGCAGTAGGGTTTTAAGCTCATTCCACTTCCTGCTTTGGTTTTCCATGAAGCAAGTGATGGTTCAATACAATAAATAAAATGTGAGACTAGAGAGAGACTAGAGAGAGACCAGAGAGAGACCAGAGAGAGACCAGAGAGAGACCAGAGAGAGACCAGAGAGAGACCAGAGAGAGACCAGAGAGAGACCAGAGAGAGGCCAGAGAGAGGCCAGAGAGAGGCCAGAGAGAGGCCAGAGAGAGGCCAGAGAGAGGCCAGAGAGAGGCCAGAGAGAGGCCAGAGAGAGGCCAGAGAGAGGCCAGAGAGAGGCCAAAAGGGGCCAGAGAGAGAGACCGGAGAGAGACCAGAGAGAGACCAGAGAGAGACCAGAGAGAGACCAGAGAGAGACCAGAGAGAGACCAGAGAGAGACCAGAGAGAGACCAGAGAGAGACCAGAGAGAGACCAGAGAGAGACCAGAGAGAGACCAGAGAGAGACCAGAGAGAGACCAGAGAGAGACCAGAGAGAGACCAGAGAGAGGCCAGAGAGAGGCCAGAGAGAGGCCAGAGAGAGGCCAGAGAGAGGCCGGAGAGGAGAGAGAGAGGCCAGAGAGAGGACCGGAGAGAGACCGGAGAGAGACCGGAGAGAGACCGGAGAGAGACCAGAGAGAGACCAGAGAGAGACCAGAGAGAGACCAGAGAGAGACCAGAGAGAGACCAGAGAGAGACCAGAGAGAGACCAGAGAGAGACCAGAGAGAGACCAGAGAGAGACCAGAGAGAGACCAGAGAGAGACCAGAGAGAGACCAGAGAGAGACCAGAGAGAGAGACCAGAGAGAGAGACCAGAGAGAGAGACCAGAGAGAGACCAGAGAGAGACCAGAGAGAGACCAGAGAGAGACCAGAGAGAGACCAGAGAGAGGCCAGAGAGAGGCCAGAGAGAGACCAGAGAGAGACCAGAGAGAGACCAGAGAGAGGCCAGAGAGAGGCCAGAGAGAGGCCAGAAGGGGCCAGAGAGAGAGACCGGAGAGAGACCGGAGAGAGACCGGAGAGAGACCGGAGAGAGACCGGAGAGAGACCGGAGAGAGACCGGAGAGAGACCGGAGAGAGACCGGAGAGAGACCAGAGAGAGACCAGAGAGAGACCAGAGAGAGACCAGAGAGAGACCAGAGAGAGACCAGAGAGAGGCCAGAGAGAGGCCAGAGAGAGGCCAGAGAGAGGCCAGAGAGAGGCCAGAGAGAGGCCAAAAGGGGCCAGAGAGAGAGACCGGAGAGAGACCAGAGAGAGACCAGAGAGAGACCAGAGAGAGACCAGAGAGAGACCAGAGAGAGACCAGAGAGAGACCAGAGAGAGACCAGAGAGAGACCAGAGAGAGACCAGAGAGAGACCAGAGAGAGACCAGAGAGAGACCAGAGAGAGGCCAGAGAGAGGCCAGAGAGAGGCCAGAGAGAGGCCAGAGAGAGACCAGAGAGAGACCAGAGAGAGACCAGAGAGAGACCAGAGAGAGACCAGAGAGAGACCAGAGAGAGGCCAGAGAGAGGCCAGAGAGAGGCCAGAGAGAGGCCAGAGAGAGGCCAGAGAGAGGCCAGAAGGGGCCGGAGAGAGAGACCGAGAGAGACCGGAGAGAGACCGGAGAGAGACCGGAGAGAGACCGGAGAGAGACCGGAGAGAGACCAGAGAGAGACCAGAGAGAGACCAGAGAGAGACCAGAGAGAGACCAGAGAGAGACCAGAGAGAGACCAGAGAGAGACCAGAGAGAGACCAGAGAGAGACCAGAGAGAGACCAGAGAGAGACCAGAGAGAGACCAGAGAGAGACCAGAGAGAGACCAGAGAGAGACCAGAGAGAGACCAGAGAGAGACCAGAGAGAGAGACCAGAGAGAGACCAGAGAGAGACCAGAGAGAGAGACCAGAGAGAGACCAGAGAGAGACCAGAGAGAGACCAGAGAGAGACCAGAGAGAGACCAGAGAGAGACCAGAGAGAGACCAGAGAGAGGCCAGAGAGAGAGCCAGAGAGAGACCAGAGAGAGACCAGAGAGAGACCAGAGAGAGGCCAGAGAGAGGCCAGAGAGAGGCCAGAAGGGGCCAGAGAGAGAGACCGGAGAGAGACCGGAGAGAGACCGGAGAGAGACCGGAGAGAGACCGGAGAGAGACCAGAGAGAGACCAGAGAGAGACCAGAGAGAGACCAGAGAGAGACCAGAGAGAGACCAGAGAGAGACCAGAGAGAGACCAGAGAGAGACCAGAGAGAGACCAGAGAGGAGGCCAGAGAGAGACCAGAGAGAGACCAGAGAGAGACCAGAGAGAGGCCAGAGAGAGGCCAGAGAGAGGCCAGAAGGGGCCAGAGAGAGAGACCGGAGAGAGACCGGAGAGAGACCGGAGAGAGACCGGAGAGAGACCGGAGAGAGACCGGAGAGAGACCGGAGAGAGACCGGAGAGAGACCGGAGAGAGACCGGAGAGAGACCAGAGAGAGACCAGAGAGAGACCAGAGAGAGACCAGAGAGAGACCAGAGAGAGACCAGAGAGAGACCAGAGAGAGACCAGAGAGAGACCAGAGAGAGACCAGAGAGAGACCAGAGAGAGACCAGAGAGAGACCAGAGAGAGACCAGAGAGAGACCAGAGAGAGACCAGAGAGAGGCCAGAGAGAGGCCAGAAGGGGCCAGAGAGAGAGACCGGAGAGAGACCAGAGAGAGACCAGAGAGAGACCAGAGAGAGACCAGAGAGAGACCAGAGAGAGACCAGACCAGGCAGTGTCTCATGAATACTGTATCACAAAGACCTGGTTGCTCAGAACAGTGAGTGTGTCGTGGTCAGATCCATCTGGAGACGTCAGGAGGAGATCCACGACTCAAACATGAACCATGCTAAAAATAACTGTAAAGATCCACAAAAGTCCTTGACTCAAACACAGAATGTCTTGGTCTCTCATCATCTGTAAAATAGAAGCCGTGGTTCTCAGGTTTCAATCCATCCAATATCAGGAACATTGGCACAAACTGTAGCTCCGCCCCTTCTGTCTGAAGGCTCCAGTCTCAGTCCTGTGTGATGTCATCGTACCACTATGACATCACTATGACATCACATGCCAAACAAACAACAGTATTACACATTCATCATGACGGTCCATACAATCACATGTGTGTGTTTGCAGCCGGTCATTTTCAATTTGGAGAAAACAAATTGTGTAGTATTTCTTCAGTCTAGGAGTAGAATCTTGGCGGTGTGTTGTGTGTTTGTGTTGCTATGTGTGTATTGCCATATGTGTGTGTTTGTGTGAGAGAAAATCAGCGCGGTCACAGCTGAGATCGTTGACTTGTGCTGTGACTCTCCTCCTCCACACACACACACACACACACACACACACACACACACACACACACACACACACACACACACACACACACACACACACACACACACACAGAGCTCTCCTAGACATTTATGGACTTTGGTCTCATTGCATTCTGTGTTCGACCGTTTTGATTCTCTGATCTGTTGTTGGTCAAATCGACAACTGTTGTGGTCGTGGGTTATACACAGAGACATTGAAGGTTTGGATCATGGGAGTTTCAGAAGAAACATTTATCAAACACTAAATTAGGAACAAGTTCTCCTCAGACACACTCTCACAGATGGACTTTATGACTCTGTGATGGGAAGCAGACACAGAGAGAGAGGGGGGAGAGGAGAGAGAGAGGGGAGAGAGACAGGGGGAGAGAGAGGGGGGAGAGGGGAGAGGAGAGGGAAGGGAAGAGGAGAGGGAGGAGGGAGGAGGGAGAGAGGAGAGAGAAGGGAGAGAGGAGGGGGGGGGGGAGGGGAGTGTGAGAGAGAAAAAGGAGAGAGAAGAGACATACATAAGGCCTGTCTCAATATACAGTACATACATGTCTCAGTATACATACATACATGTCTCAGTATACATACATACAGACATGTCTCAGTATACATACAGACATGTCTCAGTATACATACAGACCTGTCTCAGTATACATACATACATGTCTCAGTATACATACATACAGACATGTCTCAGTATACATACAGACATGTCTCAGTATACATACAGACCTGTCTCAGTATACATACATACATGTCTCAGTATACATACATACATACATGTCTCAGTATACATACATACATGTCTCAGTATACATACATACAGACATGTCTCAGTATACATACAGACATGTCTCAGTATACATACAGACCTGTCTCAGTATACATACATGCATACATACATGTGTCAGTATACATACATACATGTCTCAGTATACATTCAGACATGTCTCAGTATACATACATACAGACATGTCTCAGTATACATACATACAGACATGTCTCAGTATACATACATACATGTCTCAGTATACATACATACATGTCTCAGTATACATACATACATACAGGTCTCAGTATACATACATACATACATGTCTCAGTATACATACAGACCTGTCTCAGTATACATACATACATACATGCATGTCTCAATATACATACATACATGTCTCAGTATACATACAGACATGTCTCAGTATACATACATACAGACATGTCTCAGTATACATACATACAGACATGTCTCAGTATACATACATACATGTCTCAGTATACATACATACATGTCTCAGTATACATACATACATGTCTCAGTATACATACATACATGTCTCAGTATACATACATACAGACATGTCTCAGTATACATACATACATGTCTCAGTATACATACATACAGACATGTCTCAGTATACATACAGACATGTCTCAGTATACATACATACATGTCTCAGTATACATACATACAGACATGTCTCAGTATACATACATACATGTCTCAGTATACATACATACAGACATGTCTCAGTATACATACACACAGACATGTCTCAGTATACATACATACATGTCTCAATATACATACATACATGTCTCAGTATATATACATACAGACATGTCTCAGTATACATACAGACATGTTTCAGTATACATACATACATGTCTCAATATACATACATACAGGTCTCAGTATACATACATACATACATGTCTCAGTATACATACAGACCTGTCTCAGTATACATACATACAAACATACATGTCTCAATATACATACATACATGTCTCAGTATACATACAGACATGTCTCAGTATACATACATACAGACATGTCTCAGTATACATACATACATGTCTCAGTATACATACACACAGACATGTCTCAGTATACATACATACATGTCTCAATATACATACATACATGTCTCAGTATATATACATACAGACATGTCTCAGTATACATACAGACATGTCTCAGTATACATACAGACATGTCTCAGTATACATACATACATGTCTCAATATACATACAGACCTGTCTCAGTATACATACATACAAACATACATGTCTCAATATACATACATACATGTCTCAGTATACATACAGACATGTCTCAGTATACATACATACATACATGTCTCAGTATACATACATACATGTCTCAGTATACATACATACATACATGTCTCAGTATACATACATACATACATGTCTCAGTATACATACAGACATGTCTCAGTATACATACATACATACATGTCTCAGTATACATACATACATGTCTCAGTATACATACATACAGACATGTCTCAGTATACATACATACAGACCTGTCTCAGTATACATACATACATGTCTCAGTATACATTCAGACATGTCTCAGTATACATACATACATGTCTCAATATACATACATAAATAAATGTCTCAGTATACATACATACCGACCTGTCTCAGTATACATACATACATGTGGTGGCTGAGTGGATAGCACTCTCGCCTCTCAGCAAGAAGGTCCTGGGTTCGAATCCCGGTCGGACCAGGGCCTTTCTGAGTGGAGTTTGCATGTTCTCCCCGTGTCTGCGTAGGTTTCCTCCGGGTGCTCCGGTTTCCCCTACCACTAAAAATATGTACAATAGTTCTGGCATGCGCCTCCTGTTCGGCGACCCTGCTCCCATCTCTGTGTGGAGTGAGAGGACAAGTGCCCAAAAATAATAACAATTGTAAACCGCTTTGTGACTCTGGTCTGTGAAAGGCGGTATATAAATAAAGATTACTTACTTACTTACTTACATGTCTCAGTATACATACAGTATTGCTGTGTGCTCTCAGTGATGAGTGACCAGTGTCTAACCCTCAGTGAGGCCCATGCTAACATGCTAACATGTGGTTAGCATAATGCTGCTATCAGCAGTAACACTGTAGGGGCTCCACACGGGACACATGAGCTGAGCCTGAATAATGCAGGGGCCACAGGGGCCGCTGGGGTGCTGGGGCAGTGGACCTCAGAGTAAGTGTGTGTGTGTGTGTGTGTCTGTGTGTGTCTGTGTCTGTGCTGTTGGAGCCGACCCCAAAACCTGTCTCTGAATACAGACCCAGTTATAATTAGAGTTGACGAGAGGCCAAAACTACAGGACCTCAGCTCCACAGAGTCCTTAGACAGGACTGTGGGAGGAGTCCATAGAGAGGAGGAGGAGGAGGCCACAGAGGGAGGAGGCCATAGAGGGAGGAGGCCATAGAGAGTAGGAGGAGGAGGCCACAGAGGGAGGAGGCCATAGAGAGTAGGAGGAGGAGGCCACAGAGGGAGGAGGCCATAGAGGGAGGAGGAGGAGGCCACAGAGGGAGGAGAAGGAGGCCACAGAGGGAGGAGAAGGAGGCCACAGAGGGAGGAGGCCATAGAGAGTAGGAGGAGGAGGCCACAGAGGGAGGAGGCCATAGAGAGTAGGAGGAGGAGGCCACAGAGGGAGGAGGCCATAGAGGGAGGAGGAGGAGGCCACAGAGGGAGGAGAAGGAGGCCACAGAGGGAGGAGGCCGTAGAGGGAGGAGGAGGAGGCCACAGAGGGAGGAGAAGGAGGCCACAGAGGGAGGAGGCCATAGAGAGTAGGAGGAGGAGGCCACAGAGGGAGGAGGCCACAGAGGGAGGAGGCCATAGAGGGAGGAGGAGGAGGCCACAGAGGGAGGAGAAGGAGGCCACAGAGGGAGGAGGCCGTAGAGGGAGGAGGAGGAGGCCACAGAGGGAGGAGAAGGAGGCCACAGAGGGAGGAGGCCATAGAGAGTAGGAGGAGGAGGCCACAGAGGGAGGAGGCCATAGAGGGAGGAGGCCATAGAGAGTAGGAGGAGGAGGCCACAGAGGGAGGAGGCCATAGAGAGTAGGAGGAGGAGGCCACAGAGGGAGGAGGCCATAGAGGGAGGAGGAGGAGGCCACAGAGGGAGGAGAAGGAGGCCACAGAGGGAGGAGAAGGAGGCCACAGAGGGAGGAGGCCATAGAGAGTAGGAGGAGGAGGCCACAGAGGGAGGAGGCCATAGAGAGTAGGAGGAGGAGGCCACAGAGGGAGGAGGCCATAGAGGGAGGAGGAGGAGGCCACAGAGGGAGGAGAAGGAGGCCACAGAGGGAGGAGGCCGTAGAGGGAGGAGGAGGAGGCCACAGAGGGAGGAGAAGGAGGCCACAGAGGGAGGAGGCCATAGAGAGTAGGAGGAGGAGGCCACAGAGGGAGGAGGCCACAGAGGGAGGAGGCCATAGAGGGAGGAGGAGGAGGCCACAGAGGGAGGAGAAGGAGGCCACAGAGGGAGGAGGCCGTAGAGGGAGGAGGAGGAGGCCACAGAGGGAGGAGAAGGAGGCCACAGAGGGAGGAGAAGGAGGCCACAGAGGGAGGAGGCCGTAGAGGGAGGAGGAGGAGGAGGAGGCCACAGAGGGAGGAGGAGGAGGTCACAGAGGGAGGAGGCCACAGAGGGAGGAGGAGGAGGGCCCAGAGGGAGGAGGAGATGGCCCCAGAGGGAGGACGAGGCCCCAGAGGGAGGAAGAGGAGGTCACAGAGGGAGGAGGAGGAGGCCCCAGAGGGAGGAGGAGGAGGAGGAGGTCACAGAGGGGGGAGGAGGAGGAGGAGGCCCCAGAGGGAGGAGGGGGAGGAGGAGGAGGTCACAGAGGGAGGAGGAGGAGGAGGAGGAGGAGGAGGAGGTCACAGAGAGGGAGTCGGTCTAAGATAAAAAACACAAACACAAAGTCAAACATGAGGAGGTTTGAGAGAAGACTTCCTCTGTGTTCTGTACTGCTGTCGAGATGAGAGAGAGCAGACACACACACACACACACACACACACAGTCATACATAGACACAGACACACACACATATACACACACACACAGACATACATAGACGCACGCACACACACACAGAGACACACACGCACACACACAGACACACATCATTGCATCCATTACCCTCTTCTCGACACCATTACCTCTCTCCTCTTGACGCCGCTACAGCAGTGGACCACAGTATTATGGGATGGACCACAGTATTATGGACACACACAGAATTATGGACCACAGTATTATGGACCACAGTATTATGGACCACAGTATTATGGGATGGACCACAATATTATGGACCACAGTATTATGGACACACACAGTATTATGGACCACAGTATTATGGGATGGACCACAGAGTCACAGTGAAAACACAGTGTCTATGGAGAACAGATGGTGTCATTTTCAGGACCAGTCCCTTGTGTCTGATTCTTGTATTTTATTAAACTGTTAATTACGTTTTGTTCTCATTAAAAAAGTTGCTTTCTCTTGTGTCGTGATCACAGCCCATCCCCACTCTCTACTCCATACTTTTTATTATTCGCTCTCTATAACTGAACTTGTACAGCTCACTCCATAATGTGATGTTTCATGCCCGTCTGTCTGTCGTCCGTCTGCAGTGATGCCTGATTAACACTTGTATAATTTTAAATATTTCATTTTTTCATTTATGTCCAAAATTGCTCCACTTCCAGCCCAAAGACTGATAAGAGCAGCCCAGGGCACGGTCTCACACTGCCCCCTGGTGGACACTCATGGTTACACTGGTTTGTGAGTCAAATACACAAATCATCACACAGTCATTCATTCATAGCACCAGTCCCTCTGATCCTTTGCGGTGTTGAGTCCACAGGAAGATGGCTGCTACAACCTTGGTGTTTCAGCAGGAGATTCAGGCCATGTGGGGTTAAGTGTTTTGCCCAAGGACACAATGACAGTAACAGCAGTTGGAGTAGGTCCCGAGGTGGGCTCGAACCCTCAATCTTCCAGCCCTAAGGCCAATGCTCTACCAACTGAGCCCCATCATCACACATCATTTTGATATTAGTGCTACTTCTGCTTCGTCCAACCCCTTTTCGAAACATGCCACATATTCGTCTCTGTTTTTGTGAGGACTATACTCACCTACAATGGACTAGTTTCTGCATGATTCGATCTCACACTGTCTCTTTACATTACTTTACAACACTTTCTCATTTGTTGTTCCCTTGTTGTCCAGTAGAGGGCGCCCTCCACACACAGCCTCAGAGGAGACTTATCACAGACTGAACAGACTGAAACCAAGAACAACAGGAGACATTTGGATTGTTTTATTTGTGACTCTGCGGTCGATTACAGATGTGTGTGTGTTCTCAGAGAAACATCTGTGTCTCGGAACATTCATGTTTTATAAATATCTAAAAGCATTAGTTTCAATGCAGTAAACAGGACCTGTATTAGAGTAAAGTAATGCAACTGTCGTAACAATCACCGAGAGAGATACTTTTGTGTGTGTGTGTGTCTCTGTATGTCTCTGTGTGTGTGTGTGTGTGTGTGTGTCTGTATGTCTCTGTTTGTGTGTGTGTGTGATCCTTCACCTCTGCTCAGATAATCCAGGCTTGATCTTCTGTAATCCACTTGTTCGTCCTGAAGACTCTCAGACTCCTGTGACTCTGACATGAACTCAATCTGAAAGAATTGAATCTTTGTTTGGACCATGAACCCAAAAGAACATGAACTACTGAGTTTAACACACATTCTGAGCTCGTGACCCCTGAGGCCCAGACCCTGGTGTGATGTGTGATGGGGAGGAGGTGGGCTACTGCTCGAACAGAGAGACGCTGTTTAAATACAGATGAAATGATGATGAGCTCAGGTACAGGAGGAGTCAGTGTGGAGGGGGAGGAGTCTATGTAGAGAGGGAGGAGTCAGTGTGTAGGGGGAGGAGGCAGTGTGGAGAGGGAGGAGTCAGTGTGGAGCGAGAGGAGTCAGTGTATAGGGGGAGGAGTCAGTGTGGAGAGGGAGGAGTCTGTGGAGGGGGAGGAGTCAGTGTGGAGAGGGAGGAGTCAGTGTAGAGAGGGAGGAGTCTGTGGAGGGGGAGGAGTCAGTGTGGAGCGAGAGGAGTCAGTGTATAGGGGGAGGAGTCAGTGTGGAGAGGGAGGAGTCTGTGGAGGGGGAGGAGTCAGTGTGGAGAGGGAGGAGTCAGTGTAGAGAGGGAGGAGTCTGTGGAGAGGGAGTAGTCAGTGTGGAGGGGGAGGAGTCAGTGTGGAGAGGGAAGAGTCAGTGTGGAGGGGGAGGAGTCAGTGTGGAGGGGGAGTAGTCAGTGTGGAGGGGGAGGAGTCAGTGTGGAGAGGGAAGAGTCAGGGAAGGAGTCAGTGTGGAGAGGGAGGAGTCTGTGGAGAGGGAGTAGTCAGTGTGGAGGGGGAGGAGTCAGTGTGGAGGGGGAGGAGTCAGTGTGCAGAGGGAAGAGTCAGGACTCGTTTTAGTTTCATTCTGAATTTATTTAATTTATGCTTAAACTTTTTGAGTCAGATTCAAGTCAAACACTGCAGATTATACAACAGTAACAGCAGAAGTGGAACAATAGCCGCTTGTAGTTTCTTTGTTGCAGCAGTAACAGTAGTACGAGTAACAGTAGTAGTAGTAGTTGTTGTTGTAGTAGTTGTAGTACTTATAGAATAAAAGCCTCATGTACTTTCTTTGATGCAGTACTAACAATAGTAGAAGTAGTAGTAGTAGTAGTACCATAGGGTAGTACTTATAGGACAATAGCCTCCTGTACTTTCGTTGATGCAGTAGTAGTAGCAGTTGTACTACTTTTAGAACAATAGTTGTACTTATAGGACAATAGCCTCCTGTACTAATCCCTGATGGACTAAACCTTTGTGCCTCTGAGTCTGTGTGGTCCTGCTCCAATCCCAATCCACTCATAATCTGAGCACAGGGATTATCACAGGGCTCAGTCCAGCAAAAGCCACACAGGCTCTGCTGCTGTCCGAGGGCCAGAGTCCCACGTCCAGTCCCCAGGACCAGAGTCCCACGTCCAGTCCCCAGAGTCACAGGTCCAGTCCCCAGGGGCAGACTCAGAGGGCTTTTGGCCTCACTGCGGCGAACAGTCCTATAGAACCTCTCCAAACAGACCTCCTCCAGCTCATCCTTGGGGACCTTCTGATTCACACCCAGACCCAGACCAGCAGAGAGACCCTATAACCCAAAGTTCCTGTTACAGACTTGGTTCAACTTTTCAAACCACTAAAAACCCAGAGCCTTCACCTGGAGGATTCAGGAAGTGGGCTCCTGGGCTCCACTTTTGGACCATAAAGAGGTTTTTGAGAGCAAAGAAGACGCCGTACAAAAGCATTGGGTAATTCTCTTTCCGGGTACACCCCCACAGGCCCGGAGTGGTATTGCAGCATGTTAGCACACTTGCTCATGGACTTTTTGGAGCCGGGTCCCGCCCCTACTGAGCAGGAGTGAGACTGAGCAGAGGCACTAGGGGGCGCCATCCTGAACACACAGCCTCCATGACAAACCCACTGTCTGCCATGGATCTATTATATTAACTGGATAGGGTATTACTAGCTTGTAGCTGAATAACTCACGTGCTCAGGGGATTCTCGCGGTACTGCAGACTGAACCAGACTAAATTCACGTGGGCTACCCAGAAATTTTCCCCATAGGACTCAATGCATATTAAAACAGCTCGACCTCAGCTGACAGAGAACCTACAGCTTTAATAAAGATCGGATTTTGTGGGGACTTTAGGCCCTGTCCACACGAAGTCAAGCTCAGGCCTAAACGCAAAAATACTTTATCAATCCAGTGTATGGTCCATACGAGGCCGGCGTTTTGGGGGGGTGTAAACGAACCTTTTTGAAACTAGGTCCCAGAGTGGAAAGATTTCAAAACTCCGTATATGCCGCTCCGTGGTTACTGCCTCTCCGCAATGTATCTGAGACGCTTGCGTCATCGCCCCGCCTCTTGTTAAAGCAGCATGCGCCGCACTCAGAAAATAATGACAACAACAATGTAGCTTGTTGGTTTTGTAATCCAGTGTGACCCGAAGCAACAGTTCAACCTCATCGTCCGTCCATACTAATGTAGTACCAGCTCGCCCACTCGCCATGTTGTCTGTTTACTAAATTCCGCGCATGCCCAGTTCCCGTCACGGAAGTTTGGGCTTGATCCCGTCATTGCGTCACAGCGCCACCAACAGGTCTGGCATAGTTTCACAGCGTTTTCAGGCGTATTGACTACATTCATATGGACGCACACATTTACTGAGCTAACTCCGTGTTTACGGAAAAAGTTTCTGAAATTATAAGCGTTTTGTCTTCGTGTGGATATAGCCTTAGTGTCCCTTGTCATCCTGAACTTTTTTTGTTCTTAAAGTAGTTCTAGAATTTAATATGCTGCTATCCAGAATATATAACTACAATATGTGTTTATAATATTTCGGGTGTTCATTTTGATATGTTCAGATGAATTATGTTAAAAAAACAGCTTTGAAATTGGACCTTTTCACAAACGCTAGGAGGCGCCAAAATGGCGGCGATGACGTAGGAGAAGGACCTCTCACAGCAGCAGCAGCAGTCTGGGCTGAATCTGTAGGAGGTTTCACTGTCATCTGAACAAGGTATAAACATATTTTCATCCGTTTTGTACATAATAGTGTGCAACTCTTTTAACATTTTAGCCTTATTTGTGAGATTCAAGCTAATTAGTGTTGGGCAAGTTAGCTAACTCTACTTGATATCATAAAACATGCTAACAAGGCTAATATTCGTTTTTACATTATGCCAGTCTCACTTTGGTTGCCTTAGATTTATTTACCACAATGTAAATTGTAATATCCATAAATGCTAATCAAAATAACTTGAGTTAAATAAATATTTTACTTTTATGAACAAAAAGCTGCAGAAGTTGAAAACATAGACTACATGTGATGCAATCATTGATAAAAATGCTAATTAAACCGTTAATAGGTGTTAGCATTTTTGAATATTACAATGTACATTGTGGTAAATAAATCTAAGGCAAAGTGAGACTGGCATAATGTAAAAACGAATATTAGCCTTGTTAGCATGTTTTATGATATCAAGTAGAATTAGCTAACTTGCCCAACACTAATTAGCTTGAATCTCACAAATAAGGCTAAAAGGTTAAAAGAGTTGCACACTATTATGTACAAACTGATGAAAATATGTTTATACCTTGTTGAGATGACAGTGAAACCTCCTACAGATTCAGCCCAGACTGCTGCTGCTGCTGTGAGAGGTCCTTCTCCTACGTCATCGCCGCCATTTTGGCGCCCCCTAGCGTTTCTATGCGGAAGTGAAAAGGTGCTAACCTGGCAAAAGCCAGATTGATGATTGTGTAGAACTCTAACGCGTTCTCCGCGATATCAATCTGGGATTTCTCCCGGAGAATCCTTTCGGGGAAAGGAGGGGTAAGCAGCAGAATACTTGAAGCTGATTGGGCGAAGTGACGCTGTGTGCCCGCCCACCAAGGTTGCCGTCCAGAAATGTACAAAGCGCCTCTCGCTGTTCATCTTTCAAAAAAGAAATTGGAGATTCTGCTAAAACTGACTTTGCGTCCGTCCTTCTGCGTAGCCATGTTTGTTTTGCTTCGGCCCGGCACTTCTTGCTTTCGTCAAACCCGGATATCCCGCCCTAAACCCCCAGACTGGCGCGTGATTGGCTCGCACACCCAGTGGTTCGACTCGAAAAGTGTAAGCGGGAGCGGTACAAGATGTATTCTCGAGAGTTTGTGAACTCACAAATACCGCGAGAATTCAGCTTGCAGGCAAGGTTAAAAAGGTGCCACTTCAAAGCAGTTTTTATTAACATAATTCATCTGAACATGTCAAAATGAACACCCGAAATATTATAAACACATTTTGTAGTTATATATTCTGGATAGCAGCATATTAAATTCTAGTACTACTTTAAATCCTTCGGTTTTGTTTAAATCCACACTTTAGTGCCACAAACTCTGCTCGTCTGGCTCTCGCTCTAACTCCCGCTCTGATGAACTGCTCTGATTGGTCAGAGCGCAGCTGAGACCCTCTGTGCACGTGCGTGAGACCCGGTGCACAGCTCCCATAATGCAATGCATTATGGGAGATCATCCACTGCACAGAACCGGGAGGACCAGACGATGCCCAAATACAGGCCAGTTTCCCATAGATCTTTGAGAGTTTCCCATAGATCTTTGAGAGTTTCCCATAGATCTTTGCGAGTTTCCCATAGATCTTTGTGAGTTTCAGGCAACTTCCGCTAATCTTTCAGCCCCCATGCCGTCACAAAGCGCCACTGAGCACAACCATTCATTTGAAAAGGGCGCCATCTTGGATCGCCGGGGCTTGGTGTCTGCAGAGTCCTGTTGTTGTTATAAAAAGTTGTTTATTTTAGTGTTTTCATTTCTACAACAGTGAGATCATAATACACTTCACATCTGCTGACAGCAAGAGATGTGTGTCCAAATTATGAATGAAGCACACACACCCACACACACACACACACATATATACACATACACACAGACACACACAGAAAAAGCCAGATGGTGTAATCCTTTAGTTTTTCACTCATATTTCCCCGGTGGGATTAAGCTGGAAGACCAATCAGATTTAGGGCCTGGAGAGAGAGGGAGAGAGAGGGACGGGGGAGGATGAGAGGGGAGAGCGGAGTTTGGATCCACAGAGGAGAGAGTGGTACTGTCCCTGCGGAGGTCTGTGTGCTGAGGTCCAGGTAAGGCACGGGGTGAGAGAGGGGGGACAGTAGGGAGGCAGAGGGTGAGAGAGGGGAGGGACAGTAGGGAGGCAGGGGGTGAGAGAGGGGAGGGACAGTAGGGAGGCAGGGGGTGAGAGAGGGGAGGGACAGCAGGGAGGCAGGGGGTGAGAGAGGGGAGGGACAGTAGGGAGGCAGGGGGTGAGAGAGGGGAGGGACAGCAGGGAGGCAGGGGGTGAGAGAGGGGAGGGACAGTAGGGAGGCAGGGGGTGAGAGAGGGGAGGGACAGCAGGGAGGCAGGGGGTGAGAGAGGGGAGGGACAGTAGGGAGGCAAGGGGTGAGAGAGGGGAGGGACAGTAGGGAGGCAGAGGGTGAGAGAGGGGAGGGACAGTAGGGAGGCAGGGGGTGAGAGAGGGGAGGGACAGTAGGGAGGCAAGGGGTGAGAGAGGGGAGGGACAGTAGGGAGGCAGGGGGTGAGAGAGGGGAGGGACAGTAGGGAGGCAAGGGGTGAGAGAGGGGAGGGACAGTAGGGAGGCAGAGGGTGAGAGAGGGGAGGGACAGTAGGGAGGCAGGGGGTGAGAGAGGGGAGGGACAGTAGGGAGGCAAGGGGTGAGAGAGGGGAGTTGAAAAAAGTCTGATCACAGATAAAAAAATATTCCTATTTGTATGTCCTGTATTTTTTTAGTGCTTCAAAGTCCATCAAAGGATGTTAGTGCTGTCTCCTCTGGGGGTCTCTCTCTTTCTGGGGTCTCTCTCGCCCGCTCTCCCTGGAGCCTCTCTTTCCCATGAGCCTCTCTTTCTCTCTGGGGGTCTCTCTCCCTCAGAGTGTGTAGTTCAGAGTGAGTGGTTTAGTGTGTGTCTCTGAGCACTAAATACACATGTGTTTGTAAAAACAGCATTTACAGTTCATTTGTACACAGAGTTTCAGAAGAAAACTAATGTATGTGTGTGCGTGTTTCTCTCTGTGTGTGTCTCAGGAGAGTGTTTCTCGTGTCTGGTGGATGTGGTGCCGGTGAAGAATGAAGATGGCGTCGTCATTATGTTCATCCTGAACTTTGAGGTGATGAACGACGAGAGTCTGATCCACAGAACGGACCTGAACCATCGACTGCCCACCTGGTTAGTCACTGGTGAGTCCTGTCTCTGTCTCTCTGTCTCTGTCTCTGTCTCTGCCTCTGCCTCTGTCTCTGTTTCTGTTTCTGTCTCTGTCTGTCTCTGCCTCTGCCTCTGTCTCTGTCTCTGTCTCTGTCTCTGTCCTCTGCCTCTGTCTCTGCCTCTGCCTCTGTCTCTGCTTCTGTCTCTGTCTCTGCCTCTGTCTCTGTCTCTGTCTCTGTCTCTGTCTCTGTCTCTGTCTCTGTTTCTGTCTCTGTCTCTGTCTGTCTCTGCCTCTGCCTCTGCCTCTGTCTCTGTTTCTGTTTCTGTCTCTGTCTCTGTCTGCCTCTGCCTCTGTCTCTGTCTCTGTTTCTGCCTCTGTCTCTGTCTCTGTTTCTGTTTCTGTTTCTGTCTCTGTCTCTGTCTCTGTCTGTCTCTGTCTCTGTCTCTGCCTCTGTCTCTGTCTGTCTCTGCCTCTGCCTCTGCTTCTGTCTCTGTCTCTGTCTCTGCCTCTGACTCTGCCTCTGACTCTGTCTCTGCCTCTGCCTCTGCTTCTGTCTCTGTCTCTGTCTCTGCCTCTGTCTCTGTCTCTGTCTCTGTCTGTCTCTGCCTCTGTCTCTGTCTCTGTCT